AATGTACCTGCAATACTAAAATGTCATAGGAAGGGAGGGAAACATATTTACGACGTAGGAAGTGGTGGTGGAAGTAGTTGAGGCGAGCAGTCCGGAGTGTGGGAACCCTTCATTAGTTATATAAACATATATTGAATTTTTAATCATTTTTAGATGATATAATTACGATATTGTTTTAAATCATCATTGTAAGCCATACGATATTTTTTAGGAGATTCCTTACACCGAGCTTTGGCAATTAGGTTAAGTTAGATTAGTTCAGTTTGGCTTAGTTTTGTTTATGATAGGCCTCATAACAAATATGGAAATAGGCTTCATTTAATCAAAAGACATGTTGTACATGAACGATGGGTTTACCTCCTATCGATAACTGTTGGAAATCCATTACGTATATTACCAATGACTTTGGTTAATTAATGGATGAGAAGTTAGGATTGTTGTTGACTAAGATTTGGTTGGTTTGCCCATACAAATAACATCGTGTTCACCAGTGACACCGGTAAGTAGGCTAGGTGTGGGTGGACTCTTTCATTACTGCGCTCATGTTCACTCATCCCGTTACGCGCAGAATAAGCGTACTACTAGTAGTGAATAAAATTATCGAAAAAGGTTTATTGGTGTTGATTATTTTGTTTAAAATTAAAAATTCGTTAGTCATTGTTGCATTCCCAGCAATCACAGTTATGTTATCAACTTAGCTTATCTTGACCCTTGACGCATACCAATTTCGTAACTGAGTACACACTAAATCTTGCGTATATGGAAATATACCATTTTATAAGAGTACTAAACTACTGTTTTCTGTTCACATACACGACAGCTATTTCAGAGATTTTCAAGTGTAACAGCCTATTTGAACCACCCGAAATCCTACGTAGTAAAAAATCACACAACTTCACACCGTCCAGCTCAAATTTTGAATCGCAGGGGCGCGGCGGGGCTGAGCCAAGCTACGATTCCCGATATTGATCGCAAGGGTAGTACTCCAACAGGTTGTCCCCCCCCCCCCTGCGTCTAGACTTCCCCAACAGCCCCGTCTACGTCAAATCGCACGTCAAAAACACATGTCGTTGCCGCAACGATATATATTACAACCCCAGTCGGTCTTTACATCCCTCCCAGTGACATATTGGAACCATCCCGGCCTTCTAGCGAAATGAACATTCATTTCAAGGAGTTTGTATGCTTCATTGGACGGTGATACGTTTTTGCTGCCACAAATCTTTTGGAGAAACCGCATAAAGCCCACAATTTACAATATAACGGTTAAATTGAGCAAACAGGCTTTCTAAACGATTTCTGGAAAAATATGCAGAAAATAATTATTGAGAATTTGTATAAATTTTCTGAACCAAATCCGTGAAATATTTGGCTATCACAAGGAAATTGTATTCATTGGGATTCGATTTATATGTGTCATTGAGTAGAAAAATACGTTTTCCCTCGCATAAGTTTTGGCGTATCAGCATTTGAAATCACATCCAGGGCTTATAACGAAAGACAATAATTCCCCACAACCTCATAGAGCCAAATTTATTTGCGTTCGTCTTTATTTCTACGAGCCATTTAAACTTTAAGTTATTTCAAATTTACTCAGAATACTAGGTAGCTTCCCATTTATTTATTCCAAAGCAAACATTTTGACACGGACTGTGTATTAATCAAGCACGTAGAGTAATTCCTCACTAAGCCTCCCAGGAATCACTAGTAACCTGTCTACAGTCCACACAAGGCAGCATTTTAACATTCCAGGTACATTCCTACTGAGGACTGAGGTGACTAACCTGGGAGTTACGTAAGCTTCCCCTCCCAACGTTGGATCATTCATTGGGAACGAGCGCTAACTTAAGCCGATTACCTTATCTGTGATTGGTTGACAGCTACAGGTATTGGGCTAACGCGTAAAGGGTTGGGTACTAAACTTTGGCTGTGCGAGTGGTTTTCCATAGGTTTTTTGGATTTTTATGTTCGCTTTGAGATGTGATTTTAAATTTAAATTTTTGCGACTTTCAAATAAATTATTCAAAAGGGTTTTCATAAAAAAAGTTTAACCTTAATGGGACCAAACCAGCGACCTTCAGACTGGCATGCGAGCACAATATCACTCATTAGAAATATATCCAAGATGAGTAATAACTCATCTCTCAACCACCTGCCTCCATCACAAGTTCTTTATCCAGGAACAGGTGGACCACGAGGCACTAGCACCTGCCCAGGTAGGCGTTACAAGATGTAATAGTAATGACAGTTGTGAGACAGGTGCCACCAGAGCACCTAGCTCCTCTCCTGTGGCACCTGCCGTGGTTGTCGACCTACTGTCCCAAGGTCATGGTCTGGCTGTCTGTCAAGGTCAGAGAGACCTTGGAGTTGTGACTGTCTAATACAAGCTGTCAACCCATTCTTTTGGCGCGGAGGTTTAATCGCATAAAAATCGCACTTGTAATGTCCTATAATATCGAAAGCCTGTTAAACTTTGTTCTAGAAATTCGAAGCTAGGGGATTCGATTGTATAAGATAACCGGTACTGCAGGGATCCTGATGTAAGCATTTTATATTATAATAGCATAAATTTATGATGTAGGCTATTACATAATAGAATAATATGAGATAGGCCTATGCTAAGTAAAAACCACTCACAAAATGTGAATTAAGCTTTTAGTTTAATTTAATGAATCAGTCCGCATTTAGTGCAAACAGTCTTGTATTTGTAACGGTTCAGTTCTATTTGTGATGTCGCTCGAAGGCCGCGCATTCCATTTCTAATCTAGAGACAAATATTTTGCTGTTCATTTGTTAGACTATGGAATTCCATAGTTAGATACTGTAGTTCTTTACCCTTCGTGCTCCAAATGAGCTTTTTATCAGAAGTTGGTTAAAAGTAGGTTAATTTATTAGATAAGATTAAAATAAGCTGTTTTCGATGTACAGTATTTCGTGCTGTAATGTTGTTAGTGTCCATAACCTATTTAAGTTCGCCAAGGTTGGCGCACCTGTACCCCAGACTCTATGGGAGGTAACTTCTAATTGCCCCCTAGGCAAGTTTATGCTCCCTCCCCCCCTGGCGCTACCCCTGCCCGCGTCCCACCCTTCTTATCTTCCTACAGATTCTTTACGACCGACAATTCACGTCCCGCCCTGTAATCTTGGGTGTTACAGACGCCATTTTCAACTAAACGAACCGTCTTAAGTTATTTCGTCTGGATCTTTTAAACTAACTATAAATATTTAATTCTTACAGCTTTTGTCGGTAGTTACCTCAAACGTTTGCCCTTATGTTAGAACTCTCATGATTTCTGCATTGATGGGCTTTCTATTGGATCAAGCTTACATAACAGGTTAAAAGTTTATTTGTTTTAGGTTACAAGGCTTAGCCTACTGTCTTGTAATTATTAATTTAAAAGTGACCCATTAGAAGACAGACCTCCATGATGGAGGATTCTAAAATTTTGACGTCGTCACACGCAAAGATAGAATGAATAGACACACGCAATGAAACACAGAATTATACATAGATTGGATGACAGCAGCTATGAGAAAAAAAATCAAATAAATTCCTGTTTTCTGTACTTTTGATGGATGGAAATCGAAGTTTAGTTAGTAAAACCCGCAGATAAAAACACAAATCAAACATTCAAAATCGATGTACACGTGTTAATCGTTGTAGAAAACAAAATATCCAGCTTCCAACATCACTGATCATCCGGTGTTAAAAAACATAAACCACCATAAAACTACGACAATTAAATTCAACAAGATACAACAACACCAAGATTACGCGCAAGTACATTCCCATCAAAATTAAATGTCCGCAGCGGAGCCGGATTTCAAGAACAGTGATTTAAACATTAAATGCCCGGCGAGCGAGTGCGAGAGAGACAGAGAGGAATGCAAGGTGACCTTGTATAGGCCAATGTTTCCCGCGCTTTTCCCCCTCCACAGCCGCCGCCCGCCGTCTGACCCGGCCGCAACATTGCGCAATCTACCCGCGAAACCCCGCAACTGGTATGGTACTCGACCTGTCTGGCGTCTGACTGTCAAAATCATGTGACGAGTGTAGCTTAACAGCTGATCGTTCTGTCACTATCAACTAAACTGGGCTTATCCATACATAAATCCCAAAGTACCCATGAACTTATGACAAAAGTAAGTCACACCCCCATAAACCATATACTTAAAATATTCGTCATGACGAGAACCTTGCTCAAAACTATCCATTATTTCATAAATTGCCCTTTAAGGTCGTAATTCTTTTCTAAAGAAAACTTCCCATGTACCCAATGTTAAAAATACCTCAGATGTACTTATTTGTTTGTTATTTTTTTCAAGTAGGCTAATCACCTTATTAAATCAGGTGTGATTAGGCTATTTGTTTGTACAGTATTATATTCTGTTTTGTTTATTTCAGCTTAATCTAACAAGTCAATAATTTTATTAATACTTATGAAGTCAACCGGGTTGAAGCCCTTGGGTATCAGCTAGTCTAACAATACAGTAACATTAATAATAATAATAATATGATGTGTTAATGCTATGACAGTAGGACTACTGACAAAAATAAAGAGTATATAGCAAACATATTCTTAATGGAGTAGTGAAATAATAATTAGTTATTTCACTGCTTTTGGGACTATTCCCTAAAAAGATTCACTTTTTGGTAGCACTGTTAGAGAAGTAATATTTCTCATCTTGTCTTTACCACCTCTTCAACCACCTGATCAAATAGTAATTGTCTTGTTTACCTTTTGTATAGTTTGGTTTATCAATAAAAACAATGTCAATTTCTAGTAAACTAAATAACACGACACATAACGCTTTCATAAAATAGGCTACTTCATTATCTCATACTATAAAGGCATTCTACTGATGATTTAAGATTTTGACATCCAACTCTAGTCCAATGTATTGTAGCCTATATTAGGTAGGCCTACATTATTCTCTCACTTCTGAAACATTTCCAGTACGGTACATAGACCACTAACAAGACAGTTTCTAGAACTCACCAGAATCTGAAGGTGTGACGACTCCTAACTCCTCCGGTCTGATGTTCTTCTTGCTAGAGACGTCGTAGTTGTGGTCGGTCTGCGGCGGTACCTCGGGCTCCCAGGCCTTGGGTGTGGTGATGGCCTCGAGGGCGCTGCGGAACACACTGGTCGTGTTATGGGGGTCTATAGGGATGGGTGCAAGATCGTCATCCTCTGACTGCGGCGTGTCTGGTCGCGAGTTCTGAGGGGTGGGTAGCTCGCGCTTCACAGGGGTAGTGTTAGTGTACGCGGGGGTGTGAGTGGGAACAGAGGGTTTCGGCGGAGTCACTGTAGTCCTATTGAGAAGCAGACTTCTGCTCTCAGGCTTTACCGTTCTTACTTCTGTCCTCTCACTCGCGGGCACTATGGTAACCACTTTGTTGGCACTGTGGGTGATCAACACCCCGGGTGTGGTTACGGGTTTGGGTATGGGTGTCGGTACTACGGGTGCGGGTGGTGGTGGCTGAGGTTTGGGCACAGGCCCCACTGTAGTCCTTTGGAACTCTTTGTTACAACACTGTCCTCCCCACATACAATCGTGGTTTCTGCTCTCCCGGAACTTCTTGGAATTCAAGCACTCGCCGTCGCTGTCATCCTCGCTGTCATAGCTGCTGTCGAACACACTGGGGTCGACATCGTCCAGGTCGAAGCTCATGAGGTCGATGCGGTTGAAGAGTTCCTCGTCGCTGCCAAAGAGCGACTCCAGGTCGTCTTTGGAGTATTGTCCCCACGGGTCGCAGGGGTCGAGTTTGCAGACCGGCATCTTACTAGGTGAACTGAAACAAAACCGAGCTGTCAATCACCGGTTTTTACGATTCTTGAATCCTGTGAGCAACATACCATACCACTAGAACAGGCAAAATACAAATAATTTCAAGTAAGTTTAGTTAGGTACTTTAAATCGTTAGGTCTAAGAATACGACCTGTCCATCATCAATTCAGAACCAACTGTCCATCATCAATTCATCACCAATTCATCAAAACATTTTTCACTCGACTCTGTCCGTTATGATTATATTTTAGCCTTCAAAATAACTGGCCTTAAGTTACTTAAAAAGGATTATAAAGCTGTACTAATCACTTTCATAAGACCCAATTTAGCCTATCTGCAATTTGATCTATCTCTATTTCTATTTAAGCTCCTGCAGAAACAAATCCATTCTAGTTGCAGTGCAATTTTTACTTAAACGCAAATGACTGTTACTCCAAAACAAAATTTGTAATAAGGATGTTTTGTAGATGTAAAATAAGAAGAACAAATTGGCCTAAATCTTCAACATTGTTTAGCGGAAATACGATTGTCACACCAATTAAGCCTACTGCATATATATTTTCTTAGGAAAATCGTTTAGGGCCTTTTACAATATATCCTATCCTCTCACTAAATTTAACGTATTTATTTAGGAAATCCTTTCCTTAAATATTAAACCTAAACCATTTTTAGAGGACAATATAACCCTACACACAGTAAGTAGGAGGCTAAGTTATACAGATTTCTTGCAATTCATTATAACTTAAGATAAAAATGGATTAACTTAGCCGAATCGATTGGGCTAGGCCTAAGTTATTTTACTCATGACAGTTGTATCTTATTTGAACGCACTCTAATAATTTACCACGCTTAATATATTACAAAATACTGTATGCCCGTTACCTAAGGTAAAGAACACCATTTTAAGTTTTTTAAGGAATTACTTTACTTACTAAGCTATTAAGTTTTAAAGTAGGCCTAGACCTAACTTAAATTTACAACAAATTGGAACACCAATAAGTTTAGCCTATATACTTATTATTGTTTATAATGTAGTACGTTTATCGCAATAAATAAATACTTAGGCTAAGTTTCTTAAGCCTTAGTAATTTATATTAAATGGTGAATAGAAAAAAGATATGTTAACTTGAAATAGCCCCCAATAGCTACCTAAATCGTTGAGCTGGGCTTTATATTTTTTTAAGTGTCATGCAACTTAAAATAAACAAAATGATATTCAGGCCTAGGACTAACTTATTAAGTTATATGCTTAAAACTCCTTTCAGCTTCTTTAATATACTAGGATGACATTTACACGAATTTGCGCATTTAACTTTGAAAGAATCTAAACTTAGCCATATTTGTTCGAACATCTGACTAAAGTGGGCCAACTTATCAAATAATAGGAACACAAAAACCATACCTTTCACCCTACCTACTTAGCCTAATAAGTTTAATGAAAACAGAAATTCAAATTTACTATCCTAACTAACAGCTTAAGTTGATCACTTAATCTAAACGAGAAGACCATAAACTAGTCATGATCATAACTTAATGATTATTATGACGGCATCGAACCTCGAAACTATCAAAATGTAAATGCAGTAGCTTTAGCTTCTCAGCTTCTCTCACGAATAATTCTCTAGATGTTGGTAAACGCGAATCTTCGACATGACAGAAGAAATGACAGATGTCAGTTATAGTTATGTTATTGGGAGTGTGTTTTATCAATGTTAATAGGAACTGCCTTCTTCTCTTCTACTACGAATAAAATTCGGACTAGAGTAGTACATAGGCTCTTAGTTAAAAACTATGTAAAAAGTTAAACAATTTGTTAAATGCGTTAAACTCACCTCATTTTCACTCTAAATTATCAATCAATTAAATAGGCCTTCTTGGTAACGCCACGACAATAATAGCAATGGGTATTTTTAAGTAAATCACAGAAAAGAGCAAAAGCAACAATGGATTATTAATATTTGCTTTAATTAAATACCAGCTGTTGGTTTGACATCAGTATCCGGCGCGGCGTGAGTTTGACAGCTGGCCACCGCCCACAAAATTCCGGCGAAAGTACAAAATGTCGTACTATAATTTATGAACATAGTTATTTGAAATTTTAAATGTAAATAATTAACAATAACACACAAGCTTATAATATATTAACCACAATAAATAAGTAAAATCCGCCACGACAATTTGATGACGTGGGAGTTCAAGTGCCACGTTCACTTCTTACTGGGTTATCAAAATCTTGTCTTCAATCTATAACATGTTAGTATAATGAATAATTCCTAATATATATTATTGTACTAACCTGGTAATGGATATCCTTAAGTGTAACACGAAGTCAATCACAAAATATCACAAGTCCAAAAAAGCCGGCCGGCACTGACGAACACCACTAAATTTATTTAGGAATAAATAGCAATTCGCAAAGAAACGTCAATCGAAAAACAAACTGAACAGTACTTTGCGAAAATTCACTAAACATTATCCCACAGTAAGAAAAGATAAATAGTCAAAGTCAGACTTTGACAGGAGAAAAGCCGGCAGTGAACGGATGACGTTTAGCGAGACCACTGCCACTACGACTGAGACTGAGTCGCTGCCGAACGAACGGAGTGATCAGCTCTATGCGACGGACTGACGACTGACACTTCGGCTACGCCCGGGCCGGTTCGTATTCCTCCGCCGGCCTTGGCGCGCTGGCGGGAACTCGCGTAAATGGGTCATATCGTCTATCAATTTCTGTCTGTTACAGATTTTTAAGCAACTAAACTATCTACGAGTTGGTACATTAACTGTACCAATAAATCGTACTCAAACGATGTGTTCTAGTAGTATCCCTTCAATTGACACGTCGTACTGTCATATGTAACTCGATTTTATTGACGGACTATTTTGCTGCGCGCGCCGGCCGGTGGGGGGAGTGCTCGCCGGTACTTCCCGCCATGCCGCGCTCTCCTTCAACAATTTAAGTCTGCTCTGTTTTCTGAATCATCATGTATTTAAAGTCGATTCATTTGCCCTTTGAGAGTACTCCTTTGGACGGGAGCAGATGTTTTTTGGATGACTCAGCCATTCATTCAAACTATAAGGGCGTTCCAGTTAGTCGACTGTTTGGCCGTTTTATCTTTGGAGTACGTAGTTCAACTCAAGGATGGTTTTAATCAATAGGAAGAGAGCTGTGTTTTTCGAACAATGTCAATTTTCTGGAAAGTTACTTTTAAATTAGAAAAATATGTTAAGAAACTACGTTGAGATATTTAAATAATTTTTAACTCTTTTCAGAGAAACGGTTAGATAGTTTTTAGAAGCAATAGCGATTACAATATACATAATATAATAAAATATAATATGATTGTTATTATAATAAACAATTTATTCTTTTTAACTAAGCTATGACACGTATGATTATGAAAACGAATTGTGTGTATTTGCTTACAGTGTTACAAAAAAGTTTTATAAAGTAATAAAATAACAACATAACAATATTTTAAAGATTTTAGCTAAAATTACAGAAAAATTTCACTCTGTATACTTTTACTGAATTAAAAAACGCCTTCAGTGTCTTATCGTAAGTAACGATGATGTTATATTATTTCTGATCAACATTTATTCAATTAAAATAAAAGATACAATAAATCATACCATTTTTTTACATTATCTCTTGGTCGACGACACAACAGAAATAATTTTCTGGTGAAATGTACGTTCTTCCTAGAATTAGACAATCATCAACCTTGGTAACAATTATAAAAACCGTTGGTAGGATCAACATTATGACAGGAAAGGAACTCGTTTTTAGCCTAACATTGACCTAATGATAAGAATCAGCTTTACATTTTGTCTACTTCTGCACTTTCTTTGACCAAAAAACTTTGGCGTAAGTAAGTTTAAGATTATTTATGAAAGGAACTTGTTCGATCCTTGACCTAAAGATAAGAATTACATTTCGTTTAATTGTAAACTTTAGATGTAAGACATACAAAGATACACTTATGGCCTTCATAGTATAATAATCTCTGAGACGAAATAAAAACCAAGTTTAGTTATCCTAAAGGCACTTGAACTTTGGCTACAAACAGCTGATAACAGGTCATTTATTCATTAGACTGTTGCAAAATCTCTTATACAATGAGAAAAATTACTCCGTATTAAATATTCGATGCTACTGTTTTGTAGTGAATTGTAAATTTGTGCATTGACATTTAACTCTTAATTTGTTACGAATCAATTTTTACCGTGCTTTATTTATATATTTTATAAAAATGTATTTTAATTATAAACCATGAATTTTTGTTATTATACTTGACTTAATGTGACTGTTAAAACTGTTTACTGTCCGGTCTTTAGATTTTTTGTCAAGTAATTATCTTTAAAATAACCAAATTGTAACTTTTTCTACAATGAGAAAAATTACTCCGTATTAAATATTCGATGGTACTGGCATTTGTAACTGGCTGTATGAAATTCTTGATTGTCGTTTCTACTGGAATTCGTGATGTTTACCTATTTTTGTCGGAACAACAATATGAATGTTGTATATGTACAATGTATGTATGTAAAATAGTAGAAACTTCTTGTATATGTTGTAAAAATAACAAAAACCAAAATATAATTAACTATTCATTCTCTTGTTGTGTTTTAAAATGATTGAATTTGTTATTTTATGTAGGTACCGTATTTTGGCGAAACAACACAGAAGTTAACTTTAACTTTAAGTATTTCAACGGTTATAATTTGTCTTTTTTTCATCAATGTACATTGAAATTGTTTTATCAAGTAGGCAGTGGATTTTTGCTGTGTGAAAAATGCTGTTTAACTATGTTACAAAGAGCTTGACACGTTTAGTTAATATTCACAACCACACATGCTTACTCATAGAGGAAATTTAGTACCTTAACGGTGTATTTCAGTGTGGTACAATGTCGCTGAGTGTACACAGGTTCGCTGCAACGAGGGTTTTGGCAATATCCACAACCATGCAGCCATACTCATGTGGAAGTGCAACAACGCTGGGTTTTGTTTGTAAATATCCGTTTGTCTCGGAAGTCAGAGGAGTAACGGGACTTTTGTTGACTCAGATGTGAACGTCAGAAGCGTGAGCAAAAACTAAACAAAAGTTTGACACCTGTAGCTACCTCCTCCCCTCCCCAGAGAGCTACAAGAACAGAATCTGTGAAATATACTAAAATAAACCGGTCATTCACCAAATTCCAAATTGCCTATTTGGGTTGTTAAACAAATTTGGTATTTTTGGAAAGTGATGATGTTTACACTTTTAAAGAAATGTCATAAAAAATATGTTGAGTACCTTACTAATGCAAAAATTGTTCTTAAAGAGGTTTTTAAATCAAATTTATTGGTTCACTGTGGTATACATTTTAAAAACAGATACTTAAGGTTACAGCTATTTAACTCGCTCATCGATCCATAGTATTGTATCTTGAAATTTCCGGAACGTGTTGAGTTCTATTATGTCTGCCCGAACGTTTTGATATAAAACTCTAAAAACCACATATGCCGTACGCTTTTTAAATATCATCCATTACTTCCAGTCAAAAATTTCACATTTGTACTCATTGTTTTATTTAAATTTTGAAGTCCCATAGTTGACTTCTTTGAATGAATCGTATATTCTCCAAATACAGTTATCCAGAAATCACCCGACTTGCCCAAGGGGACTAAACTTTTATATCTCATCGCTGTGGCCCTTTAATTAAGTATAATTGTTTAATACTTTTTTATAAAATGGTGACTGTATACTCCGTTCAAACAGCTGTGGCACCTGACGGATTAGGAGACCCCATGGAAACCCTTGGGACCTCCTAATCCCTCCGGTGCCACGGCTGTTTGAACGGAGTATAAACACCATCTTGCCATAGTACTGTTGTGGCTTATAACAGCACTTATGTTTCTCAAAGTTGCTTCAAAGGTTCAAAAACCCCTCCAGTACGACAAACTCCTCGTTCTTCACTCGTCTTCAGGTTTCAGGTCTCGGTGCTTTACAATCTCCATCCGTTAAAGTTCCCTCAACAGCCTAAATAACCTCTCCAAAACATATCTCACAATTTACTGAAAATTCAAGAAATCCCTCAGGTTTCTATTACCTACTGACTAAGAGTAGTTCCTCACACCGTTCTATACCCATCTTCGAATGTTACTTTGATATAATTGTCTATGTGGCCGAAAGGTTATGGTTATAACGCTCGTTTTGAAATCTGGAGGTTTCTGGTTCAATCTCAAACGAGAACGTCTCATCTCCAGATGTCAATTCTATATTATGACACCTTTAAAAGTCCGAAGAACTCTCCCAGAAAACATTTGTTACAGTGTTTATGCATACAGTTCTTCACTCTTCTCCATAGCTCAGTTCCACAAGTACCCTATACCTAAAGATCATTAAAAAGTCCGAAGAACTCTTCTGTAACCCTTTTGCTAGAGTGTTTCTGTATACAGTTCTTCACTCTTCTCCAGATCTCAGTTCCACAAGTACCCTATACCTTAAATTCATTAAAAAGTCCGTAGCACTCCTCTAGAACACTTTTTTAGAGTGTTATTGCACACAGTTCTTCACTCTTCTCCAGATCTCAGTTCCATAAGTACCCTATACCTTAAATTCATTAAAAAGTCAGTAGAACTCTTCCAGAACACTTTTGTTACAGTGTTTCTGTGCACAGTTCTTCACTCTTCTCCAGATCTCAGTTTCATAAGTACCCTATACCTAAGTCGCTTTAAAAAGTCCGAAGATCTTTTCAAAAGCACTTTTGTTAGAGTGTTCCCTTACACAGTTCTTTACTATCTCCAGATCTCAGTTCCACAAGTATCACATAACTTAAAGCTACTTTTAATGTCCGGAAAACTCTTCAAGAACACTTTTGTTTATGTAATCCAAAGCTCAGTTCCAAAGTTCAAGTCCGATTCCGGACCCTTTTGTTAGAGTGTTTCTGCATACAGTTCTTCACTCTTCTCCAGAGCTCAGTTTCATAAATACCCTATACCTAAAATTTCTTTAAAACAGTTTTGCTGTAGTGTTCTCTATATTCTTCACCATTCTATTCCCAGCTCCACGTCTGTACCCACTCCGGTTCTGAGACATCCGTTCCCCGCTGTTCCCATGTCTCGGGTAACCCTTGCTCAGCGTTCCAAGCAGACACGAGTTTCTTCGACCACTGACCCGACAACCTGCTGATCTTTCTGCTAAGGTAGACCATGGAGTCGGCGGATTATACAAACTCCGCCTTCCGGCTTCGATCCGTGTTTGCATTTGTTTGATTTCCTGTCTCGAATTACACGACGAGTAAATTCTTTATATGTCTTATTCGTCATTATGATAAACATATTGGAAAGTTTTGTCTTCGACCTGTAATTTGACGATGCTGACCGAAAATAAGTTTGTTTGTCTGTATTTTTTGTAAACGTAAGACTAGCGTTCTTGTAAGACGTAAGGAATTGTAAAAGTAATATTTTACGGTGCTATGGAATCCAATAACAAGATAAAATTATTTTGTTTGTCCGTCTTGTCAATCATTAGGAATATGAACAAATTGATAAGGTGTGTTTTTAACCGGTGGCATTTGATCTCAAAGTTTAATTTGACGTAGCTAACGTTTGATGTTTAGCCCAA